GGCAGGGCCTTATCTGAAGACTGTCCTGCTGGATGTGACCAGTCAGGATAGCATTGAAAAAGCAATGGAGTGGACCAAGCAAGAGGTTGGCGATAAGGGTGAGAGATGATTTCCTACAGTTACATATACGATTGTAGGACATTATTAGATCACACAAGGCAAGCCTGTAAACAAAACACAGCATCATGTTTTCCTTGTTTTGTCTTTTTATTTGCTTTGTAGGACTTTGGGGTCTTGTGAACAATGCTGGACGTTCATTACCCATGGGTCCATCCGAGTGGATGAAAGTGGAGGATTTCCACAGCACACTGAAAGTAAACATGAATGGAGTGATTGCCATGACAATGACCTTCCTGCCCCTCATCAAACAGGCTCGTGGTCGTATTGTAAATGTAGCATCAGTGCTTGGTAGAGTGGCAGCAAATGGTGGTGGATACTGCATTTCCAAGTTTGCAGTAGAATCTTTCTCTGACTGCCTCAGGTAAGACTCATTTAAAGGGCTGCTGCAACCATATATATTAGCTTAAGGACCCAGTTGGTACTCGTTTCTTATTTAGAAAGACAGACAGTGTATCATAATTAGAAAGTTAGCATGGGTGATACAGTTTTATTACATTTTCAGTGATAAAAAAGACCATCAGTAAATTACAGAGTGCACTAAAAATGCACACCATCTAACCAATTGTACAAATAGACCTAATTTGGCTACAGCGTGCCTCAGAGAAGGATTTTTGGTTCTGAGGCCAAACGGGGGGAAATGTTTGTTGCCCTCACTGACTCACATAGCTACATTAACTCTCTTTTTCTGCCAGGTAGTTGATTATGTTTTCATTAATGACAATGAAAAGCTTGCAGCCTGTGTTATAGAGCTAGCACTGAAACCATCTAAATCTATAAACCTGAATATTAGTTGGTAAGTGGAAACTCAAGACTTTACTAATGTTCAGTAGGTCATTCAACAGTATTTGATAGTAATAGAATACAATGTATCAGTTATAAACAATTGATAAGAACTCATTTGCACTCTCAGAAAATCAAGAAAGCCCGCACTGTAAGGGAATACTAATGACAAGTAGAGATTTTTAGACTCATTTTTTGGCTTAAATGCAGATGGCCAATCCATTTGGCCATTTGATTGGCCTTTCTACCAATCCAAATATTTTTATTAATATCTCACAAATAAATTGTAAAGCAGATATAAAGCAGGACATGTGTGAATGGTGACCTGTTAGAAAGTGGTGCTCAAAATTAGATGAGGTTTTGTTATTGCTATGAAAAAGCAACACACAGAGCATATCTGTGTTTCCAGGAGAGACATCCACTACTTTGGAATTAAGGTATGTATCGTTGAGCCTGGGTTTTTCAAGACTGCAGTAACGAGCCTCGAACCCATTGAGAGGGAGCTCCATCGCCTGTGGAACCAACTCAGCCCTGAAGTAAAGGCCAGCTATGGAGACAAATACCTTGATAAATGTAAGTACAATGGGCCGTGGACCATCTGAAGCATTTTATTGATGCAGAATAGATCAATTGTGTCACATTCTTACTGATTTTTTTTGACTCGTTTTTGTTTGTTTGTTTGTTTTTTGCTTTGATACACTAGGAATGAAATGTAACTGTTAATTTTAGATATAAAAAGTCACCTATTGAGAAGTGACTTCCAAGATTCATACATAACATGTTAATCCAAAAATATCTTTGCGCGCTTTTAAAAAAAATGAAGTATAAAAATAAATCATTGAACATCAGATAAGAATGAAGGATTCTTGGAAATTGCAAGTTTACTGTGGCTTAAAAAAATCACAAATTACTCTCTGGTCACGATACATAATTCTCTTTTTAAGATGTCAATATACAGCGTTTGATCATGAATGCCGTCTGCGACTCTGACCTCACTAAAGTGACCAACTGCATGGAGCACGCTCTCTCTGCTGCCTACCCTCGCACCAGATACAGTGCTGGCTGGGATGCCAAGCTTGTCTGGATCCCCCTCTCTTACATGCCTTCCTTTGTAGTTGATATTGCACTGAAGCTCGTGCTTCCACGTCCTTCAAAGAGCGTCTGATTTGGGATGACCTACTTTATGTCATTTTGACGCAATAAGGAGGCTGACATTAAAAAAGTTTTTTTTTCTTGATCTATTTTCCTTATCAGAGTTGGCCATGCGATGATAATACGACAACTTTAGAAATTACTGTTATTATATTTATAAGTGTATACCATAGAAAAGTCTTTTTCCTCTGTAATGTCTCTTTGACACTTCTAGACAACACAAAAATACTCATACAGTTTACCGTATGCATATTATTCTGTTTGTTGGGTGTTTTAACGCTATTATTTAATGTGCTTGTTATGGATGTTGTTCACCATGGAAGCCTAAATAAAGAACATTTTAATATTAAGAAACTGTGTTTGTCAGAATGCAAGGATGGGCATGCTGCTGAAACGGGAGTGAGAACGGGCTGCATACAGAAAGAAAATAAATAAAGCTTTGCTCTGAAACAATGTCTACAGGCTGAGCTACAGTTATGGGCAACATGAACACGGCAGTTAAATGAGAAGAAATATGCATATATGAAGACTCATGCACTGTACAGTGGGGCAAAAAAGTATTTAGTCAGCCACCGATTGTGCAAGTTCCCCCACTTAAAATGATGACAGAGGTCAGTAATTTGCACCAGAGGTACACTTCAACTGTGAGAGACAGAATGTGAAAAAAAAAATCCATGAATTCACATGGTAGGATTTGTAAAGAATTTATTCGTAAATTAGGGTGGAAAATAAGTATTTGGTCACCTCAAACAAGGAAAATCTCTGGCTCTCACAGACCTGTAACATCTTCTGTAAGAAGCTTTTCTGTCCCCCACTCGTTACCTGTATGAATGGCACCTGTTTGAACTCATCATCTGTATAAAAGACACCTGTCCACAGCCTCAAACAGTCAGACTCCAAACTCCGCCAAGACCAAAGAGCTTTCGAAGGACACCAGGAAAAGTATTGTAGACCTGAACCAGACTGGGAAGAGTGAATCTACAATAGGCAAGCAGCTTGGTGTGAAAAAATCAACTGTGGGAGCAATCATCAGAAAATGGAAGACATACAAGACCACTGATAATCTCCCTCGATCTGGGGCTCCACGCAAGATCTCATCCCGTGGGGTCAAAATGATCATGAGAACGGTGAGCAAAGATCCCAGAACCACACGGGGGGGACCTGGTGAATGACCTGCAGAGAGCTGGGACCAAAGTAACAAAGGTCACCATCAGTAACACACTACAACGGCAGGGAATCAAATCCCGCAGTGCCAGACGTGTTCCGCTGCTGAAGCCAGTGCATGTCCAGGCCCGTCTGAAGTTTGCCAGAGAGCACATGGATGATACAGCAGAGGATTGGGAGAATGTCATGTGGTCAGACGAAACCAAAGTAGAACTTTTTGGTATAAACTCAACTCGTCGTGTTTGGAGGAAGAAGAATACTGAGTTGCATCCCAAGAACACCATACCTACTGTGAAGCATGGGGGTGGAAACATCATGCTATGGGGCTGTTTTTCTGCCAAGGGGACAGGACGACTGATCCGTGTTAAGGACAGAATGAATGGGGCCATGTATCGTGAGATTTTGAGCCAAAACCTCCTTCCATCAGTGAGAACTTTGAAGATGAAACAAGGCTGGGTCTTCCAACATGACAATGATCCAAAACACACCGCCCGGGCAACAAAGGAGTGGCTCCGTAAGAAGCATTTGAAAGTCCTGGAGTGGCCTAGCCAGTCTCCAGACCTCAACCCCATAGAAAATCTGTGGCGGGAGTTGAAAGTCCGTGTTGCTCGGCGACAGCCCCAAAACATTACTGCTCTCGAGAAGATCTGCATGGAGGAATGGGCCAAAATACCAGCTACTGTGTGTGCAAACCTGGTAAAGACCTATAGTAAACGTTTGACCTCTGTTATTGCCAACAAAGGTTATGTTACAAAGTATTGAGTTGTATTTTTGTTATTGACCAAATACTTATTTTCCACCCTGATTTACGAATAAATTCTTTACAAATCCTACCATGTGCATTCATGGATTTTTTTTTTCACATTCTGTCTCTCACAGTTGAAGTGTACCTCTGGTGCAAATTACTGACCTCTGTCATCATTTTAGGTGGGGGAACTTGCACAATCGGTGGCTGACTAAATACTTTTTTGCCCCACTGTATGTGTGTGATTGTCGTGTTTTTAAGTTGTGTATGACTGTATTATTGTTGGCTCTTTAAACATTATTTTATATTATTTTGTATACTTTCTAAATGCAGTTCAGTAGCTCCGGGACATTTTCAACTGACAGAGATGGAATTAATTACCATGATGGAGGGACATTATTACTGTTTTATGTTTTTTAATGCAAAGAAGCAGAGTGAGTCATCTGAACCACTAGAAGAAACAAGAAAAAAAAATATGTTTCGTCAGAACTGGGTTCAGTATTCTGGCACATTGCTAGCCAACTATAAATGTACACCACATTACATTCAAACCTACTGACTGGAAAATCCACCAGGTGGTGCTAAAACATCGCATGAAAGTTTCAGAACTAAAGTGCTTAAAATTGCCGTACTATAAAGATTAGATTTTTTTCCCCATAATGTTGCAAAAGCAGTTAAGTAATGCGTAAAATATTAATATTTCTTTCTTATGCGCGTTTTAATACTCCAACAGCTTTGGAGTTTCAGATTGGGAAATTTATTTCTAGCTTCTGACCGGCTCCTGTGCAGACTCTGCTGCTTTCAAATGCTCCTTGTAAAACTTTAACCACGCTTCAAACGAGTATTTGTGGAGTTGTGGGTTGTGACACATTCTAGGCTGTTTTAATAATATAAACCTGTTTCTTGTTGTGCTGTTTAAGTAGTCGAGATCTCTATATATTTTAAGTTAAATGTTTTTTTCCAAGTAAATGAACTGTACTTGTAAAGGGCTTGTAAAAAAACAGTCCCACCTTTCCGATGACACATGAAGGTAACAAAACTTCAACTTCAGCCTAAAGCTGGTGAGTCAACGACCTCGCACGATCAGCTGGCGTCCAGCTCAGAAAATAACAGCAAGGTTATCTGTGTTGATTTCATCCTGAACGAACTATCGCGAAGGCTTTATTTGTGCCGTTTGTCGCAGCCATGCATTTCCTGAACGCGCTGCGCCTGTCAAACTCTGCTCAACTGGTGGTCAAAAGTACAGATGTGGCGAAGAAGGTTTTCATCGTGCAACCAGCATGCTGTTTGGGCACGAAATCAATAACTCAGTTTCAGAGACGATCCCCTGCACTACGAGATCGTTTGCATCTGAAAATGTAAGTATGTGTGTGCTAAACTGGTGAGAATCAGCACCTTCTTACTGGTGTGAATTCGTTTAAACAGAACGCCTCCACACTAACTATTATCTGCCATATGCTGGTATATAATTATTTGTGCATAAGCAGTTGTTTTCTGTGTTATGGGCACAGAGAAACTATAGGAGGAAGAGAACAGTCACCATATGGACCTCCATATAGGTGGTTATGTCTGTGTGTGCAGCATGTGTAGGCTATAAAAGCAATCTTGTCTTTTATTTGTTGTTGTTGTGTTTTTTTTAAGGGAATCCAACACTTCTTTTGATTGTTTTCCTCTTTTCAAGAGTGTGCTCTTCACTTCACCAGGAATATGCATTCAAAGCCATCTGGTTCCGGAGTGGAAAACATGCTTTTCTACACCATCACAGAGGGAAAAGAGCAAGTGCCCATCTCATACTTTACAGCAGTAAGCAGACATCATCTGTACATTACTTTATATGCACTGTTGCTACTGAATATATACTATCCTATTAATTGTACATACTGTGTGCAATGACATTAATGCTGACAACTTCTTATTTGCAGGCACTGAAAAAAAATGGCCTTCACCCATCCGATCCTCGCCTTAAAGACTGCATGGAGAAGCTCCGAGAGGCCGTGAAGGAATCTGTTGGCGAGGTGATGATGGACAAAGACCTTTTCCACAGGTGACAAGCGGTTTCTCAAGGCTAAGAAAATTTATGTCAATAGCACCTCTAAAGCACACAGGCAGTTCAAAATGATTGGGAAATGAGTCAGTTAATCATTCTTTAATTAAACTAAAAAGAATCCAGTCTGACCAAAACTTAATTTAATTAAAGAATTTCTTTTGTATTTTCCTGCAATTTGGTTCTGGAGCAATTTGGGGGCCATGGTCTTGTATATACAGGTTTACTGCCAGGGCGTTATGAATATAACTATATACTGTGATTAGAAAGCCTGTGCCTTTCCACTGACAAGTGAACAGTCAACTCCACTGTAGTAGACCATGATAACCCCCATATCTTGTAAATTTTACAAATGCAAACTGTTTAAAAGACAACCTCTATCTTCTACTGAAGTCCAACCAGTAGAAGATAGAGGAAAGTCTGGATAATTATTTTATATCACTTTGATTTTAAGTAGGCCTAACCATTGAAATTCTCTTTTCTAACGATGTAAAAAAAAGTTTAACTACACATTTAATCTCTGAGAATAATGTCAGAAAAAAGTGGAATTACACAGTAAGTCCTAGATTTTCCATATGACATAGTAATGGTGGTGTAGTAGATGAAATAATTGAAAGAAATCTTTCACAAGACAGGAAACAAGAATTTCTGGTAGCTAATTGCTCAGACTGTCCTGCAATAACAAAACAGAAAGTTTCTCTTAATTCACAGAGAATGCTCTTTTCTTGTGGATTCAATGTAAAGTCAGTATTAAAAAACAGGAACTTTTCTCTTATTTAAATATTCATATATTTTTTAATTACTGTGGTGTAATATAAATTGTGACGGGGGAGGTCTTTAAAAGCATAAAATGCTGCAAAACCTATTAAAATACAGTTAAAAATACAAACATTTATAACCCCTTCACGTTTTCCAAAGCTGTCCATTATGCCGATTCTGGCCCCTGGGCCTTAAGTTTTATACCCATGGTCTAGCTGGAAATGTGTGCACTTTTTAACTTAATAAACAAAGCATTTTACAATTAGGACACAGAGATCAGATCAGTAACCCTGTGGTTATTGGACAGAGAGCCTGAGCCACAGCTGCCTCTGTCTACAGAGTGTGATTCAATTTGGAAAAATGGTTTACATTGCTGGTAAACGCTTTATGTCTTTGATCACTACAAATCAAATGAGGCTAAGTTTCATTGCATTAGGGTTATTTACACTCAGTACGTCGACCCTCGCGGTGAACTGCCTGTAAGTGCTGACATTTAACTGTTAGTCCTGCGGCTGCTGGAGATATAGTTTTGCTCCCTTTTTTTAGTTTTTTTTGTTGTTTTGGTTATTTCATTGTGTTTTGTTTTTTATTATTAGTATTATTTCTTATGCCACTCTGTGAAACCAATGCAGTCTGTGGATAAGCCCATGATTTGTCATTTGTGTGTCAGTTTAGCAAGTCAGAAATCAAGTTAAGAAAATGGCACACAGAATAACTTTTAGCAAACTCTAAAGGGCAACAGTGGCCAAGAAAAATGGATCTAATGCGGCAGTTGACAGGAAATTTAACTTTACATTTCTCCCACAATTATTGTTGTTTTTTTGTGGGACTTAATCTTCGTTACACTATCCCTCAGAGAGGGCTATCTTAGCTGTGACAGTCCATGGTGTTTTGTTTTCCATGCATGAGGAAGCAGGTGCAGGCATGAGACCAAACTATTTTTAGCCTGACCTTCCACTAACAATCCATTTTAGTACAGGATTTGTTGTATGTGATGTTATGCGTAATTGTTTCTCTCTTCTTTTGTCTTCCACGTACTTTATGTTCAGTCATTCAGACAGGTTTAAGAATGATAAGGTGGAACTATAGAATGTAGAAGAAGTCGGAACTAAATGGACAACATTTTATGCAATTTTTAAGGCTTCTGGTGTCACAAATTGTGCGCATACAGATTTTTTCTTTATAAATAATAAATTGAAAAACTGATACACTGTATAATGTAATGCAAATACGTACAGGTATAGCTTAAGAATGTTAGATTTATCATACAGTAATAAATTCACACACATTGTAATGTCATAATTAAATACATGCATTTCATCAAGATCCATCCCAAACATGGATGTGTGAAAGTCGGTGTCAGGACATGTCAGTTTTATTTACTGTCGTTTTGATCAAAGGAACAGCTTCTCACACTTAATGAAAACTGACAGCTGCTGGCTTCCACTTACTCTAGAGGCTACACACACACACACACTCTGTGTGTACTCCTATCCTTGTGGGGACATCTACTTGACATAATGCTTTTCTTTCCCTAGCCCCGTACCCTAACACTAGCCATCAAAAATAAATGCCTAACCCTAACCCTTAACCGGACCGTGCACCAGAGCTTTATGAAAAGAAAACTAAACAAAACTCTCTTAATACCTAACCATAACCCAATTGTATCTCTTTAACTAAAACCGCATTTTGAATCTGAAATGCCTTCAGACTTGTGGGGACCGGGCTATTGGTCCCCACAAGTATAGTAAACTTCCATTCTTTGGTCCCCACAAAGATGTCTAAACAGGTACACAAACAACACACACACGCAATGAAAGTATTTTCTTTTTATTTAGGGCTCTTGAGTAATTCTGCATTATGCTGTTTTTGTCTTAGATGTGTAGGAGGAAACATTGTTCTGCTAATCCAGGCCTTCAGGAAGAAGTTTATCATCCCTGAGTTTGACCTGTTTGTACAGAAAATAAATGAAATCTACGAAAAAGTGCAGAAGCAAAGTGATGGGAAGGTAAACTTTTCCTAATTTAGTTTTCCATGCTATGATGGTTTATTTGCTGCGTAAAGCTTTCTCCTAATTCATCCTGCTGCCCCAATATCTGCACACATTAAACATAATACTTGATGAGTAAATAAGGAATCTCTTCTACTACATTAACATTAGTTCTAACAATTACTTCTGAATGAGCATTACTTCTGTCTTAACTTGAACTGTGTTTCTCATTGTGACTGCAGGTTGCAGACTACATTCCCCAACTGGCTAAATTCAGCCCAGAGCTATGGGGTGTGTCTTTGTGTACAGTTGACGGACAGAGGTAGGAACTAAACATTTGAATAAATGAAATGAGAGTCTTTTATGAGATTTGTAGAGATTTATAGAGCTATTTTATTCATATATTATGAGATTCCTCATTAGATTGTGATTTCCCAGCTATCACTGAATGACAGCTGGAAACAAAGATTCTTCTTGTCTAGTGTGTAACTAGATTTATTTGATTTGACATATTCTTTGTAAGACAATTTCATGTGAAAAAATTTTGCAGAACATCAGCCTAATGTTTTGCTGTACCTTTGTTTTATTTTTGTCCAATTTTGAGTCACAGACTTACTGATACACATTTCTGTAATCAAAATATAATTTTTAGTTCCAGTCTTATAATCTTCATACACAGTGCATTTGCTACAGATTTCAGAAGGTGAATCAAATATAAATGAGCGTTCTCTCAGTCTCTACTTAAACATAGTTCATACTTTTTTTTAAAGTGATACTGCACATTCAGTATGACTGTCACTTTATTTTCAAGATTGTGTAGGCTCTAAAGGTCTATTCTGTTTTCTTTTTGCAGGCACTCAGTAGGCCACACCAAACAGCCGTTTTGCCTGCAGTCCTGCGTGAAGCCCCTGCAGTATGCCATTGCCGTACATGAGTCAGAAACTGAGAAGGTTCACCGCTATGTTGGCATGGAGCCCAGTGGACTCAAGTTCAATGTGCTTTCACTTGATGATGAAGGTATGTAAAGCCTCATTACCTCCTATTGGATTATAAAAATCTATCAATGCAATCAGTGCGCGGAAATGACACCTGAAGTTCAAAGAAATCTAGTTATGAGGCATCTAGCACAGCACATAACATGTATCTTAGTTTCCTTTTACTCCTGCATAAGTGCTAAACTGACTGGATGAACAATGTCTTCGTCCAGATGAAACCCGAATTTATATTCTCATAATAATTTTATCATAATGTTTCTTTATTCTTCTGCTTAATATCAAGGAAGAAATCTAGCTGTGTTACTCTGACACAGAATTTAGGTCCTTCACAACTGTCACTGACACTGGTTTCCTTCTCTGAGAAATACTGTGAAATTCAGGCCATTTCCGTTCCACCGAGTCAAATTTTACACCAGTAATAATTAATGAAATGTAATAAACTGATTAGTTGCTATTTTGGTAACAAGGTAGTGTTTGTAATTGTTTTTCAGTTAAAAAAAAAGAACAAATATTTATTGGTTGCCCTTTTCAAAAAAAAAAAATTGGTAACACAATATACATTTAAAGACATTTTGTAAATTTGTTTTTGCAGTACTTTTTTGGTACAAATATTATTCTGTTATTCAGATTATATTTCATGCACATTAGGAATTTTGTCAGGACCCTTTTTTTAAAATATGCACTCGTGGTCAGAAATTTACATATACCCATCATGAGCATGTATGTTTGGTGGTAATTTCAGGAATTTTAATGATTTCTTTGACCTCTTCTTTTGGAAGAGGTGGAATGATTGTACAGCTTTATTTTGGAAAATATGAAAATATTTTATTAAAAAAAGAATTCGGTGCACAAATTTGAATATACTTTGTAATTTCTCTAATCTAAAAAGGTTAAAAAGTATACATACAGGCCCAAATTAAATTTTTTAAATAACTGTTGTTGAAGCTTCTACAGTGCCTTTTAACCTGACAACGCCAAGCCCTATTAGCTTTGTTAGTAAGCTACAAGTGGTATTGTAGTCTCTTTTTGCCAGCATAAAAAGAATTTGTTTGACACTCATTGGGTTGAACATTAGCATTGAACAAAATCATTATTTCATAAAGAATTTGTCTTCAACCCTGTGTCTTATCTTACTGTCCCGTCTCATAGATAAGCCCCATAATCCCATGGTGAATGCTGGAGCCATTTTGATCAGCTCTCTTATCAAGGTAGACAGATAAACACTTATCACTCTCTTTTTAGTGAAAGACTGTGGCAGCAAAAGGTTAGTTGCAGATTTTATATATTTTTGAAGCTCAAATCTCTTAAATAAAGAAATTAATATTAAAATATGCACTAACTAACTGTGTTTACCCTGCTGTTGAGTAAGACTCTTGCAGCAATGGTACTTTGCAGTAGAAAGTTATGCACTCAATTTAAAAACAACTTAATGCATCAGATGTTTTACTGCATGAAAATTTGTGATGTTCTATAGCATATTTAATGTTTGCCTTAAAGTTGGACCACTTGGTTTATGATCATTACCTGCTCTTCTCTTACTGCTGATAATAGGATACTAAATCATGCAATCAGTAACACATTCGTGTTTTTATACTGTGCAATTGGTACCAGCTTCTGAATGCAGGAGCTGAGTGAATGTGGCAATTATACTCAGTACTGTTTGTTTTTACACAAGCAAGCGACTCTCCTTGTTTTCAGCCTCACTCAAATAAGGCAGAAAAGTTTGACTATGTAAGTAATGTAACCTCCAGTTTTCTACTCTGTTTAGACCATGAATATAAAAATGTAGGCTTATTATTTTGGTGCTCAGAGGTATGCTGAAAAAGCACAGATGTTTTTTTCCAGGTTATGGAGTTTGTGAAAAAGATGGCTGGCCAAGAATATGTAGGATTCAGCAATGCCACGTGAGTGCATTTCAAAATAGAGTTGGAGTATTTTGTATTTATTTGCCTCCATTTAGCACAAGCATGAGTGAAAACCCATATGGAAAAGATATATATATATAAATCTTATAAAGTTTGTATCTGTCTTGTGTGAAACTTGTATGAAAAGCATACAAGAGTGAAAACACATATAAGATCCCTTGGAAAATTATATAATGAAACTTGTATGTTTTGTATACTTACTAAAAAATATATGAAAGTAATGAGAAAGTGGCCACTTTCATGAGTAAATCATGTAAGCCTTATATGATTTATATATGATTTACTCATGAAAGTGGCCACTTTCATGAGTAAATCATATATGTTTTTACTATTTCTTTTCCATATGGAAAGACTTACTGTGTTATGGGTTTAGTCCACTACCTATTGCATTATTGATTTTTTTTTATATTGATTTCTGCTCTTTCTTTGTCTCAGGTTCCAGTCAGAAAAAGAAACAGGTGACAGGAATTTTGCCATTGGATACTACATGAAAGAGAAGAAGGTCAGTTTCAGAAAAAACATTTCCTAAAGCTCACATATATGAATTTAAAAGTTTCAACTTGATAGTACTTATCTTTTAGTAATTAAAAACAATCAAAATTAATCATCCATGATTTAATTATGAAAGTAATGACTAATTGATCAACTGAGTGTCTCATTGAGGTTTGCAGACAAGTTAGCACTAACCAAATGACATTAACTTGTTTGCCATTTTATGATGTGTGACAATCATGGTGACAATGAAGGATCAAATGAATAAGGCCTGTAGGACACAAATCAGAAGCCAGCCAGAAACCTCCAAGAACTACTGATTTTTCCTTAGCAATGGTCGTATTACTTTTAATATGTTGGACAACTCAAGCAATGTCCGCATGAGGTCATGTTAGAAACTCAATAGATGACACACATGACAAGGAAAAGCTAACATTTAAAACCTAAATACTGTATTTTATCCATTTTAACCTATTATAAAATGTATATTTTGATCAGGTACTCAGCAGTCATATTCCACATTTATAATAAGGTTTTTATATTATTTAATTTTCATGAAACCAAATTGCCAAGTTTCAGATAAATATTCTGCTTACTTTGGTCAATCAGATACTCATGATGATAATATTTCACTCACCAGTGTTTTCCTCTGGGAGCAGATATGATCGATGCCCTTGACTTCTACTTCCAGGTAAAATGTCAATAAAAAGAGTCTTTTGCAGCCTTTTATTTATGAAAAATGATTCAGTAGTTTCAATAATAAACTGACTATTCCTCTCAGCTTTGCTCCATTGAGGTAACCTGTGAGTCAGGAAGCATCATGGCTGCCACTCTGGCCAATGGGGGAATTTGCCCAATTACAGGCGAGCGTGTCCTGAGTACTGAGGCTGTGCGAAACACCCTGAGCCTCATGCACTCCTGTGGCATGTATGACTTCTCCGGCCAGATGGCTTTTCATGTGAGTAACAGCAGGATGTGATGGAAAAAGCACTTCACTGTGTCACAACAAAAATAGGAATAATCTCATTACCTAGAACAAATGGCACATTCAGCCTCTCGTTCTCATCTCACAGGTGGGCTTGCCTGCAAAATCAGGAGTATCCGGTGCAATTCTGTTGGTGATCCCCAATGTGATGGGAGTGATGTGCTGGTCTCCTCCACTGGACAGGGTTGGAAACAGTGTCCGAGGAATACACTTCTGTCAGGCAAGAAAATAGTTTCTGTTTTATTATATTTAGACCACTTATGTTTTGTTTTTTCACGTTAATGTTTTAATTTGAATTTTTAATGCAAGTAGAACATCCTGGCCTTTCTAATATTTTTCTCGTGTTTAAATTGGCTCTGAAGTCGTCAATACTTCAGGCCTTACGGTAGAAGCTTTAATTTTTAAAAGATGATGATGATTACAGTAATAACCAGTTTAGTTTGATAAATAATTTGCAGTCATTACACTATCGACATCGTCTTAAAGCCAGAAGCCTGGCTTCGACTAATACCATAAATATTCCCCCAGAATGTGTCTGTAGTTGCTTTACAGAGTGCAAAATGTCTAATAAACCTGACTTATTCTGTGGCTGTTATATTCTGTTTTTTAATATTTAATTATTTTTTTTTGACAGAACAAAACAGAATAAATAATTTTTTTGTTCCCCCCCTAAAGATTAAATCATACTGTTTTTGTTTTCTTAGGAACTTGTGTCAGTGTTCAATTTTCACAATTACGACAACTTGAGGCACTTTGTAAAGAAACAGGACCCTCGCAGACAGGATGGAGATGACAGGGTGAGTTGCTCGTATTTTGTTTGGTACTGTATGTAATATGCGCTGTGCTCTAAGCCTCCATGTTTATGGCTCTGTGGTGTTTTTGCAGAACAAGTCTGTTTTCAACTTGTTGTTTGCTGCCTACAGTGGAGATGTATCGGCACTGAGAAGGTAGATAATCGAGACTCCTGATTTTGTCTGTCCTCTATAAAACATTTCCCTCACAATGTCTAAAACAGGCCCTGGATCAAATTACCTCAACAATGTTTATTACTAGTAAGGTGTAGTGAACAAAATGACCTTTTATACCTAGTACAGAATCAGAGCATAGAGTATAAGACCAATAAGAGTTCTCTTTTTCTTTTTCTTTTTTAATAAGACAAGTGTGGAATCCACAATTTGTTTCAGGGAGGAGATACAAATCTCTTTGGGGTTGCATCAGTAAAGGCAGCTAGTGAAAAAATCTGCCAAATCAAACATGCAGGGCTACCCGCTGCGGCGACCCCTTGTGAATAATGGAGCACTTGAAAGTAGCTGACTGATTTGTTTTGCAGATTTGCACTTTCTTCCATGGACATGGACCTCAAAGACTATGATTTTCGAACAGCGCTTCATGTTGCTGCAGCTGAGGGTAAGCGTCATAAGTTCAGGCTAATTTTACACTTATTCGGTCATTTTTTTATTTACTTATTTATTTTTAAATTAATGACTTCAAAACAAGTGCAGTTAGCTTAAGTCATCATCTGAGATCAAACTAATCATGACTTTGATCCAAACAACATACATTTAAAGTTTTGCTACAACACAAAAGTTTGTCATAGATGTTTAAGAAAACTTGGTGTAATTGTAAGATAACAGATGCAGAAAGTTGCAGATTTCAGTTTTAATGATGATTGGTTGGTATAGCAGATAAAAACAACCTTTATTACCTATCCACTGTCTTCTCTCAGTTAAAAGAATGGTGTCTGTTCACTCTGTCATTTCTTTTCATTGCTGACTGATACAAAAATACTTAAACTTGTTAAATCGTTTGTTTTGATGCTCACAGCAGTAATTAGCGCAAAGTTTTCACTTTGTTTATTCTCATGATTAACAGTAGAGGTTCAGTACCTCTGGCTCACATTATATAAGCCACTAATGAACCAGCTCATAAACCCTTACAGAGCACCATATGGTAGATTATTTGTCTTCTGTTGCAATGTTAGTTTATTCACAGCACAGATTTAATACTCCGCTGCCACGACTACAGCAGTAACGTTTTTCTTGAAAAGAGCCTCGTAAGCAAACTATTTGTTTCGAGGATTAACATGGAAGTAACAGCAGTTTTCTTCCAAAAGGGAAAAGGCAAAGATTCCTAAATGCCATTCTGAGCTGGATTCCAATAGAAGGAATTAGTAATTACATATTTATTGTTTTTTGTTTTTACTTTAGCAGATTTTCTTCTCCATTTCTAATTCTGTGGTGCTACTAGATTAATTTGTCAATGGTGACAATTTGGTTTTTTTGCTTTTTAAAAATTATATTCTTAGGTCACATGGATGTAGTAAAATTCCTCACTGAAACCTGCAAAGTTGATCCATTTGTAGAAGACAGGTGAGATAAATACCTTGTATATAATTCTAATTATAATCAATTGATTACATTAACCCTGTACTGTCATACTACTTCATTGTAAAGAGCCTTTTTCCATCAACTAAACTTTTCCAATTATTTATCAGCACACGATGTTAATACCACAGTTTGTATACTCTTGGATTTTGTCATCCATAGTTTTATGAATTGCCTCTCCATCACTTGCAGGTGGGGGAATCTACCGGTCGATGATGCCATGCAATTTGGGCATGACGAGCTAGTGACGGTGCTCAAAGATTACCAGCAAGAGTGCAAGCAGCAGGAAAAGAAGCAGAGTGAAGCTGTGCATCCCCAGAAGCTTGACACCATTGACGGCATGGTGTGATAGCTAAAATGAAGTTCTGAAATTGTAATACATCAGGGCATTTGTGCAATTTTCCAAGTTTAGAAATATGGGTGTCCATTTGTAGCACGAAACATGAGTGACGCACAAACAACAGAATATAACTGTCATGGAAAAATCTTTATGAAAGATTTTCTTCAAATTCGAGTCAGGTGAAAATTTTATTGTTTAGCATTTCCTTTTTGTGATTTTGAGTCTTTTTGTTAGAAACACTAGGTAAGTAGGTTGGTGCCACCCATGTAATTTTGAGCTTGTTTTGAGTTGAGGTTTAGGGTCTTTCCCTCTTGTTTTTGCTTTTCTAGGATAATAGCTCAGCTAAGTTTTGGTTTTGTCTTTTTGGTGGGTTTTTTTTGGCACAACCTAACTGTCCCTTTCTCCCCCACATTTGTTGTTTGAGTCTGGGTTATTTATTTTGTGAGAGCGCTGCCATTAAACCTTTTTCATAACACCTGTACCGAGTTTCCGGAGTTGTTGTGTTATCCCCTCCTGCCCTCGAGGAGACGCAACAATTGCATTTTTAGAACACTACAGTCCGTATAGCATTTCTATTCTATAATGTATATATGTGTGAGGTTCACTTGATTGATATCTCTGTCAAAGTGCAACCGAGTACAATGTAGTGCCACACAAAGGGAAATTGATGCCACCTGACTCAAAGTTACATGGATTTCAGCAGCAGGTGACAGGGTGTAAAAGATTTTTGATGACAGGAAGGTGCTTGTTGTTTTTGTTCTATAAAGGATTTTCCCTCCTTTGCCTTGTCTGAATGTTGTGTGACACTCGTCTTTTTTACTCCCAGTCAAACCAACTATCAAACTCAGCGTATTTAAATTATTTGAAATCCATACCATAAACACAATGACATAATATCACAGTTATAACACATAGTGGCCAACTTAATGTTAATTTATTATGTATATGTTTATACCTTGACTTGGGAAAACTGCATGTTTTTTACTGTAAAAAAAAGAGACAATGAGTGTCTCAGTGTGGTACTTTATGATCTCCAGCCTCATAATAAATTAGGTTCCAAAAACTAAATGATGTGAAAGGTTTGGCATTAAAGCCATGTATGCCACCCATAGCTTGATTTTATTTTGATTTTATTAAGCTAGTCAGTGCTTCATAGTGTGACAAATTTGATATTAAATATTTTGCAGCACCGAGTAAATCAACTGAATACATGATGAAAAAGCAGCAGGAGTGTGTGTTTTCCATAATCAAGATATTTCAATGAAAACAAATGGAACAAGTAATGTAATAAGAACTATTTAGCGAGATATAACAAATGTGCACCACATTATTTTAACCATATAAAGACTGTACCATGAAATAATTGCCAAAAAAATCACATTTTCTGAAACAGGATTGTGTATTTAACCTTCTGAAAAATGTAATAAATAAATAAATACAAATGTGCATATATGAGCTTATATTGCATATATGAGCTTTAATTTACACTATTTTTGTTAAATCCAGTATTTTTGTGCAATTTCTTGCTTAGAAGTCACACTTTTAAGTCTTTAAGAGTCTTTAAGACTCACAAAAACTCATAACAAATATGATACCCTTGACATTACAGGGTTGACTTCCCTCTCCTTACCAATGCTTTATTTATAAATGTAGAGTTAATAATTTTTGACAGATTGTACCTTTAATTTCATGCATATGATACAATAGACTGTAGCCACAGAGCACAAATGCTTCATTTTTACTTTAATCCATCAGATGGCACTATGTGCCTGTCCAACATGTGTCCGTGTTGCCTGCAAACTGGTCAACCTACAGTATCAGTTGTTATCAGGTGGAACAGTGTGCCTTAGATTTGTGGAGAGAACGAGCACTGCTGAGCAATAAAGAGCTTATATAAGATTAAACTGACGTTCAGAGAGACTAGTGCCGCCTGAAGAGACTATGGTGGTCCTGACAGGATCTTGAACCCATTCCACTAAAGAAATAAACAGAAACAGACATTTAGACAACAAATATGCAGTGCAATATTTTCTACACATTTTACTTGCTCTTTAAATGGATTTATTTTAGTCTCTTAGACCAATATTTCTCTTTTTTATTTTGGAAAGTGAGCAAATATGTCACAACTGTATCCAGCACTTTGAATGATTTACAAAGAAAATCTACACCACCCAGTCGATTAGGTGCAGCTCTTGATTTGAACGCTTTACTGTGTGTAGACTGGTGCTCTTCATTTTCTCAAAAGCATTCAATAAAATCGATTGTTGGCAATTGCTACCTTGTCGAAGCCTGTGGTTTTTTCTACCTTAAGAAGACAACTGGTGAGGTATCAATGTGTGTCTTCTGAAAAGACAAACACATTTGTATTGCTTTCCACAATGATTAAAATTTTGGACTCTGGACAGTTCGTGACTCAGATAAATTGGACCTGCTTATTAATGTCGTAGACAAGTGTTCATTTTTTTAATGATTTGAACTTTTTGGCATGAAGGAGGTTTAATGAAGCCAGAAATATAAAAGCTGACTTTAATGAGTTGGCACAGGGATGTGTGTGAATCCCACAAGGATGTTAGGATTTTCTCAAGTTGACAAGGTTGTTCTGCCATTCAGCCATTGCCTTCTGGAGATTAGGTTTCAGAGAATGCATTTGCAGCAGTGAGATTAAGGGTGGTAATAGCAAAATACCTGAATCAGATCAGTTGCTATTACATTTAATTTTAATACTTATAGTTCCAGTAGAATGATTCCTACTAGCATTCGTGTTTGACTTAATTTTCTTCTATTGTAACTTCAAGTTGTAATTTACATTCCCTTTTTGGTTTCTAATAAAATCATAGTGAATCTATCAATATTTCAGCATCAGTAGCATATATATAAATATATATATAAGTTTCTGTAGCATATGAGTGGGTCACACATGTGGGTCAAACAGACTTTACCAACAACTGTGTTTGTACTGTCATGGTTCATCAGTGGCTGCCCTGGCATGCTGTTCTTACTATGTTCACCAGGGAGGCGTCTGTTCTTCTGTGTTCTTCTGATTCTCACACCTGCGCACACACACCTGCGGCTCATCATTGCTGATGGATCCTGACAGTATTTAAGGCCGTGTTGGAGTAGTGTTCCTCACTGGATTGTTGTACTTACTTCTGTTAGTGTAGCCTGGCTCGCGTTTGTACTTCCCTGTGGTCCCTGGTGCTTCTTCTGACCTCTGTGTCCATCTACCTGTATAGATTGCCCTGGACCTGACCAGAATGAGAGTGGGTCACGGTGTTGGATTGGACGGTGTGTGTATCATGTTCTGGACTCTACGAAGAGGTGCTTGACGTGTGTTTCCCTGACCCTCTCTTGGAATCCCCGGAACACTGTCGCTCTGTATATGTAAATATTTCACTGGTGTTGTATATAAATCCCCTTTTGACTGCACAGTTCAGAGTCCTGCCATTGAGCCCTGCTTCAGTAACAGTGACATGTAGCAACAGTCAGTGAGATGACTCATGAGAACATAACACAAAGTTTGTATTCACAGTAGCTTACCCCTGACAGTGTGTTAAATTGAGAGGTGAACATTCTTCATCACAAGAATGTGATTAATCAAGCGCAAAAAATGATGAATATGTGTAATTAGCGAACTGTTTTTCATTAACATGAGGAACGTAACCCTCTTGCAGAGATATTACAGATACGCTGACCTTTGGAATTAGTTCCACCAACTGAGAAAATGGTTAAAAAATGTTATGCATTAATTCTGTGTTGATTAACTTGTGTATTAATTTCTAATATGTTTGCTAATCTTGTCCACATATCACAAAGAGATGTGCACAGATTTTTAAATATTCACAGAGGCATGAAAGCATTTCTGTTAAAGAATTGGGGATTTATGAAACATTAGACAACACAAATCTAAATAGACTTTAAAAAGTGCATTAAGCTAAAACTTAATCACCAATTTACCTTTAGTATTATATATAATATAATGCAATTATAGAAAGAAACCCATACAAAAACCACAGGATAACCTTTTGAGCTTGTAACAACAGAAACAGACAGTCTTGTTCTGGTCTTCTGAAGTTTTCAACCACATCACACAGGCAGCACATTAAAATCATCCATGTGTCAGCTCACGTCACTCGTTCAGTTCGGGCTTGCACACCAGCAGTTCTTCCACAGTTGCACAACTATTAGGTTCATGGTTGGTGATACATCTGGATTGTCAAACTCTTCTACTGGGACATCTGGACATCTACACTTTTAGTGGTAGTTGTCATGAAGCCATTGCCATTATGATGCAATACTAACAGCTTATAGCTTTTCACATTTAAGCTGCAGTTTGCTGCAGTCTCCCTCACTCATTCTTTCTCCACAGACAAGTTGATATATTCTGTACACAAGCAGTGTTTACTGAATCCATGAGCGGTCAAAGATGAAAAAATTACATTTTGTGTGTGTATGCCGGTGTTTCTGAGAGCACCTGTTTATAGGCACCTTCAGGCCTGGTGGGTGTGGCCCTGCCAGGCGGTTGGCCACACCTGAAGACCATCACACAGCTGATCAAGCTTTGTAGGAGGAGCTACTTAAGAATGCGTTGGAGATCTCTCCGACGGATCATTGCGTGGTAAATAGTGAATAACTATAAGTGAGCTGAAGAAAGGAATAAACAGCTGGAACAGGAAAACAAAGTCATGACAGTAGTTTGAAGTAGAAAGAAAAATGAAGGACTGCAAAAAAAAAAAGCAACTGGAGGAGAAATTTAAAGCCTTGGAGCAGAAGTATAAATTACTGGAGGAAAACCAAAAAATGGTAGAGGAGAAAGAGAGAAAAAAGAGAAACACAAAGAGTTGAAGATGAGAAATGTATTATGAATTGATGCAGATGTCAGGAGGACAGAAACACAAAAATACTGCATGAGAGGATAATCAGCTGACCTTTCAACTGCAAGTTAGGTTTGTTGACTGACATGGATTTTAATTTTTCACATTAAAGAATAGAGTTGCGAACACACTCTGTACATGCTAGACGAAAAAGAGTTTGTCTTTATCTCAGTGAGTCTGTCTATACAAATAATCTTCTTTTCCTTGTAATTAACTGAGTATCATAGAGATGGAGGTGAAGCTCTTTGGATTTAAATCTGTTGAAGCTGCATTTGGAACATGAAGAACACTTATCGTTTGCAGTATGTCAGAAAGGGACAACTTGATTATCCAAATGCAGAGCTCAAAGAAGGATTGTCAGTTAGACAAAAATTGTATTATTTTAAAAGGAAGTTTAAAGAGGGTGCTCATGAGGCTTTGGCACATTGGATGAGCTGAGCTGAGCTGATTGCTGGAGTATGGAGATAAGAATGTAGCTCCAGGCTGAACAGGTTTAACTGAAGTACAGTATAGCATGTAGTGTGTAGCTGATAATGCTGGCACAGTGCCATAAGAATACTCTGAGACACATAAAGAAAAGACTGTGAAGTAAAAAGTAAAAAATATTCAAGAAGTGAATGATGGTTTTATTTAAATTATAACTGGAGCTTGAATCTTAATCAAGCAGTCATTCAATTTATTTATAAGCACATTTAAAAAAAACACACAGGTTGACCAAAGTGCTGTACATAGTAAAAAAAAAAAAAATAGAGAGTAAAAATGTGTTTTCAGATGGGTTTTAAAAATGTCAAGTGTTGGAGAGATCCTCAGGCATGTAAATGGATTGCCCACAGATGCATAATCAGAGCACCAAGTCAATACACACCTATAACAGAAATAAACCAAATAAGGCCAGTGTTGGAAGGTTACT